ATTATTAATAATGTACATTGAATGCTCCTGCCAGTGCCCGGCCTTCATATATGGTCCGTCCGTCTTGGCCAGTATCTCTCCTCTGTTCACTCTCCTCTCTCCTTTGTCCCGTCTCCTACTAATATAAGGAGAGGAGCAGATTACTCCAACTGCCCTCACCTCCATTCGGGCTTCACCTGCGTCACCGCTCCCGAGCTCTCCCTCCTGCAGCTCAGTGCTAACATCCGCCGCGTCGTGGATTTCATTTATTGACGTAATATGTTTGTCTTATATTTCCATTCTACAACTGTACTGTGAATATAACTGTGTGGAGAAGAGTGATACTGTCTAGGGAGGGGTGACACAGTTGGAGGGGGGTGGTGATACAGTCTATAACAGTGTGGGGGAGGTTCGTAGAGACTAAATGTATACGTCAATAATATAATAACTATCTTGCGGGGATCTTCGGGGATTTTACGGTATATATAGTTGGTAGTTGAAATTCTTGAACAGATGATTTAAATGTAGTCACATGATTTAGTGTATAAAATTACATTTTAAGCCACTTCTGGCTATTTTTATATTTTAATTATTTTTCATGAAAGTCATAGTAAAGTAAGTCCTTATTGTCATTTTAGTCATCCCAGAATAAGATTTTATTTTTAGTTCTTAGTGTAGTGAAGGTTTTACTAACTAACATAGTCAGTTAGCCTCCCCATCTCATTAGCCCCTCCCTCAGCCCCTCCCTACACCCCGCCCCCTTACCCAGGTGTAGTATATAAGGCCTCCAAATGGCTCAGTTCTCTCTCTGACTGCTCCCTGGTGAGGTTCTTTGTGCTGTTTCAGGTAGGCCATGTGATGGTTCAGGTAGGTCATGTGCTGGTTCTTCTCTTCTGTTCTTTTATTTGTTAGATTTGTCCTCTTCCCTCCATTTTCTGTCTGTTTGGACCAACTTCTTCTTTTGTTTGGCCTGGTTAGCTTCTTTGGTTAGGCTGAAGCTAATGCTAACCCTGTTTCCATTCCTTTCTTTAAGTTTGTATTTTGATTTGTGGTGTAAATTATTAACTAGGTTGTTGGTTTTGTTAATTTTGTGCTTTTTGTTTGTGTTTTAATTTGTTTTTATTGTAGCCTGGGTGTTGGCAGGCTATGCCTTGTGGTTGGGACCCCACTGCTGTTAGGTCCCCCTACCGGCCTGGGGTGAAGCCTGTTAGCTTTTGGCTGCTTTGGGTTGTTTTTGTTGTGTGAAATGTGTAAAATGTAAATTGTTTGGATATTAGAGGTTTTACATGGTTTGTCATTATTTATTTACCTTTTTATTTAACATGTGTGTTTTAATTTGTTTTTATTGTAGCCTGGGTGTTGGCAGGCTAGGCCTTGTGGTTGGGACCCCACTGCTGTTAGGTCCACCTACAGGCCTGAGCTGAAGCCTGTTAGCTGTTGGCTGCTTTGGTTTGTTTCCGTTGTGTGAAATGTGTAAAATGTAAATTGTTTGGATATTAGAGTTTTTACATGGTTTGTCATTATATATTTACCTTTTTATTTAACATTAGAGTGGATATTGTTTTGATTTAGCTTGTGGTTCTTAATGTTTGCTGTGGTCTTCAGTTACTTTTTTGTATAACAAATGAGTGACTGATTTGTTTTTGGTTTATGGTTTTTATGTTGAAAAAATCCTGGGTATTGGATCTTTGTATTTCAATTTATTTGCTGTGGGTTTTATAATGAAACATTTGTGCTTTTTTTTTTTAAATTATTAAAAAAAAACTTTTTTAATATTCTTTTGGTTATTTTAATGGTGACTTCCATAATTTTTTTTTTTTTTTGTCTCTGTTGTACTTTTTTATTTGTGGGTGTCTACAGGGTATTTCTGACAAACAAAATGAGGTTTTTGTCTTGTTACTACTTTGCCATTATATATTTACCTTTTTATTTAACATTAGAGTGGATATTGTTTTGATTTAGCTTGTGGTTCTTTTGCTGTGGTCTTCAGTATACTTTTTTGTATAACAAATGAGTGACTGATTTGTTTTTGGTTTATGGTTTTTATGTTGAAAAAAATCCTGGGTATTGGATCTTTGTATTTCAATTTATTTGCTGTGGGTTTTATAATGAAACATTTGTGCTTTTTTTTAAAATTTTTTTAATATTCTTTTGGTTATTTTAAGGGGGCCTTCCATAATTTTTTTTTTTTTGTCTCTGTTGTCCTTTTTTTATTTGTGGGTGTCTACAGGGCTTTTCTGACAAACACAATGAGGGTTTTGTCGTGTTACTACTTTGCTGTTTTACATCATAATATTGGTTATTGTTTTTCATGTTCATTTTTGGGGTTCCTTTGTTTGTGGGTCTTAACAGAATCGTTTGACAGAAATTTTGTTTCTTTGATTGTGGTTAATTTTATTAGACTTTTTTTTTGTCATGTTTTTGTATTCTATTTCCAATTATTATGTATGTTTTTTTATGGTTTTCTTTTTTTTAAGGGAATGTATTGCTATGATTTTTGTCTTACTTAATGGTTATTAAGTAAAACATGAAGGTATTGTTTTGTCTGTGGTTTTTATGAGTTTTATTTGTAGGTCTGTACTGTTTTGTCTTAATTAGTGATTTCGGTTTGTGGTTCTGTTTTTGCTGATTTTATTATTATTTTTTTTTAATCTGGACTTCTTAGAATATTTTGAATGAAATAACAATGATGATATTTTAGTTTGATTGCGATTATATTTGAGCTTTAGTTTATTTCTTTTTGTTTATTTTTTTTATTCATTTGTGGGTCTTCACATGTCTTACATAAAAATTGAATTTTTTTTTTTTTATCTTGTTTGTAACATTTTGTGGTCTCTGGGTTTTTACATAAACAGAAGAGATTTCTGAATTTGGTGTGCTGTGTCACAATGACATAATTCACTTTCACTGTTTTAATTAATGCATTTTTGTTTCATGAAGGTATTGTTTTGTCTGTGGTTTTTATGAGTTTTATTTGTAGGTCTGTACTGTTTTGTCTTAATTTGTGATTTCGGTTTGTGGTTCTGTTTTTGCTGATTTTATTTATTTTTTTAATCTGGTCTTCTTAGAATATTTTGAATGAAATAACAATGATGATATTTTAGTTTGATTGCGATTATATTTGAGCTTTAGTTTATTTCTTTTTGTTTATTTTTTTTATTCATTTGTGGGTCTTCACATGTCTTACATAAAAATTGAATTTTTTTTTTTTTATCTTGTTTGTAACATTTTGTGGTCTCTGGGTTTTTACATAAACAGAAGAGATTTCTGAATTTGGTGTGCTGTGTCACAATGACATAATTCACTTTCACTGTTTTAATTAATGCATTTTTGTTTTGTTTGTGGTTTGCAGGTTTTTTTTTATGGTTATGGATATGGTTTTATTATAAAAATGGGTGGATGACATTGATTGTAATGGACTGATGAAATTTGTGATTTGATGCTGTTTGTGATGGTGGACTGCAATTTCTGTTCAACCTTTTTTCCAAACTTGTCTGTTGGTACAGTAGTCATCTCAGTCCTTTTAACTGAGGTTTTTTCTGAAAGGTATATTCTGCCTGTGACCTCTTCCCTGTTCCCAGGTCATCCTGCAGGTGGACGTCGTCGATGTCTTCCTTCATCTATGTTTAGAGCCACAACTTGTCGATGAGTTGGCGTTAACATAAAAATTGAATTTTGTAAGAGATTTCTGAATTTGGTGTGCTGAAAGGGAAATTGGAGAATATTTATTTTTATATTTGAGTCAGTTATGTCTTTAATGTGTAACATATTTGGAATTTGTTCTTTTTAGGACCCATCTGCAGTAGTGTACCTGGAGAAGATGTGTTTGGACCATCTTACATGAAAAGCAGAAGCACCGTTCCAACGAAGAACACCGTTAAAAGAAAGCCTGTCCTTTTTTGGTATATTACTTTATGATGCGTTGAGCTTACAGATGTTGTTTAAAACATTTAATTTTACGTGATAATTTAAATATCTGTGCAAAATTGTTTGGTACTTGTTGAGCTCACAGATGTTGTTTAAACAATTTAAATTTGCGTGATAATGTAAACAATTGGCAACTAGACTCTGTTTGGTGTGTGGACTTTTAGGTCACTCTGCTAAGTCTATTTTCTGCTAAAGACTTGGTCTAATGTGGTGTTTAGACAATGTTCGGAAGGCTCCCAGCAGAGTAATTCTGTCCTCTAAAAAAAATGTTTTACTGTTTACATACAGGGGTATGTTTTCAAATTTAGAAAAAGTGACTTGGCAAAGTGACAACCTAAAACTAGTTAAAGGTTGAGTGATTGACAGGGCACCTGTGTTTTGCTCCCATAGACCTGAGACTGGAACTGGGAGAAACTCCTTCCTGGACAGGTCTTGACATCAGCTAAGATGATCCAGACCTGCCTCCTTTCTACTAGATGTCTTAAGGGTTGTAATAAATGATAATCCTTGTTATATTCAGTTTGTTGCTATATAGAAAACATGTCATTTATGTTCAGGTCCTGGCCCCAAGGAGCCAGACTGATCAGATCTGAGGAGGAGCATTTCCCATTCTAATCCCTGCATGGTTGTATATGTTTTTATATAGATATTTATAGACTGGAACTGGGAGAAACTCCATCCTGGACAGGTCTTGACCTCAGCTAAAATAATCCAGACCTGCCTCCTTTCTACTGGATGTCTTTTAAGGTTTGTACTGAATGATAATCCTTATGTTCAGGTTGTTGCTGTATATTCATGTCTCCTTTATGTTCAGGTCCTGGCCCTCAAGGAGCCAGACCGATCACATCTGAGAAGGATCAGTTCCCATTCTAATTCCTGCTTGGTTGTATATGTTTTTATTATTCCTGTGATTACTATCAGCATGTGACCTTTTACTGGTGTGCAGCTTTTGGTCAGGGTGGTGGAGGCTTCACTCGTGCTGTTCTCGTTGAATTTGCCAAGATCAGTCAATGAAATAAGTAAGAATCCTGGCCCCACAGGTGTTGGTGCTGGATCTACAGAAGCTCTGGAAATCTGTCCTCCTGGACTGTAGGGTGGTCCAAGTGAACCAACTCCCTTGAGGAAATATGTTCTCAGCCACAGGATGTCTTCAGGTTTGTACTACACAGTGACTTTTGTTAAACCTGTTGACTTTAATCTGTGTCTGACTGATCTGATCTGTGTCTAGGATTCTATGGACCAGAGTTGATCAATTATGGAGAAGATGAACCCTGTTTGAAGGACCTGAGATGATCAGACCTTCTACAGGTTTTAATATTTTCATTCCAATTTAATGT